TGTGCTTCCTCAATTCATCCAAGTACTTCTCACCTTCCACATGCTCTGATGAAATACCACCTGTTCTAGGAAGCATCTTCTTTACCCTCACTGAGACCCTTTGTTTTTAAATCTCTCTCATTTGTGAATGCCATCATTTACCACTCAATTAATACCTTGGGTTATTAATTTACATTCTTAGCTGTGTATCTTACCCTCCCTGATTACACCAGACTATGGGTTGACTGGGGAGGGGGCGGGTTCTGACCCTCTAATCACATAATTGACTGTATTGACAGCCCACCCTCATCTTTGGGTGTGTCCAAAAGTCATCATTAACATAGCAAAAGACAACTTGATCAAGCTCTTAGGAAATTCCAAGGATTTTAGGGGCACTGTGCCAGAACCACCAGGCAAAGACAAATATAGACTTCTTATTATAAATCACAATATCATCACTATCCATCCTAACTGACAAAGTCTATCTGATGAGTTCAAATTTTGAAGGATTTCAGCAGCCCATTTAGCTCTAGATAAGAGAACCAAATCTCCTGCTATGGGTGCAAGGAAGATGCGTAAGTTTCTTGGAAGTGCAAGTTACTTCTTTGCAAACTACAAGGCCAAGTTAGGCTTTAAGTCTGAAACTGAAGCCACTGGTCTCCAGCCAGCCTGACTAGGGACCAATGAGAAATTATCTCAGGAACAAACCACCAAAAAAAAAAAACCCCACAAATAAAAGCAAGAAACTCTGAACATCCCTTGGGTCATGACTACAGGCTGGTTGAGAGCAAGTTCATCCAACACAAAAGGAGAAGTGGCTCAATTCCCAGGCTGTGTCAATTCCCATGACACAGACGGGAAAACAAAGGGGCTTCATCGACTTTTTCAAAAACAATAGTCCAACAAGCCAGTTTTGAAACTTCAGAGGCCCTCAAATGCCATTTCTCCTGGTAATATTGTCCATACACCGTATCTGTTCTTATCATCAGAACTTCACCTGCATGTATCAGTCTGCTCCAGTCTGGACAAAATGACACAAGTATGTATTTACAAACAATCTCTCTAATAATATCTACCCAGGAATTCAGCCTGCTATTTTTCCTTTTGAACTGGCAGCCCAGTTCTTTTAGGTTCACATTGATGAATTTAGCGATGAGAGCAGAAGCACTCACGGCTCTCCAGCCAGAGGGCAGAAGCATGGTGAGGGTTTTCTTAAGCAACTTCACCTTGCCAACTCCACTATCCCTGGGTGGCCCCGTGCTCTCCATTCCTCCTCTAAGCCACGCTGCAGGGGCCCATCCAGGCTGAGCACTCAAGGCTGGTAGTCAATTCCTGCCCAGCGAGGGTCAGGGCTGTGTCTACCCAAACGTGCTTAAGCCTTATGTTCTTGTTGCACAATTTGGTAAATGGCTCAAACATATGTACGTGTGAAGACGGAGTTAGTGGTGTGAAGGGATAATGGTAATGATTTGAAGGTTAAAAAATTCTAAATTAGGCATGGACAAGACAACGGAGAGATTAGGGGTGGCGACTATAGGACCTTCGATTCACATACTGCAGTTGTTTCATGGCATCTGCATTTGCATGTGTGTATAGCTTTGCAATACAGAAGAATCAACCTATTCATCAACAATAAGAATATATTAAATATATATATGTGTATATATACATATACATACACATACACACACACTTACACAATATAATTTTATTGACCAAATAAATTCATTGATTTTACAGTATTGCAAAGCTATTGCTATGGTCTTACCTCAATCAGTCCCTGAGATTTAAGGGGTTTTGTGCATTTGGGATTTTTGTTTATTTTGTTTTTACTTTTCAGTGGAGTTAGGAAATGGCTACCCATTGACATTTATACAAAACCCTTTATCAGCGGAAAGGGCAAACTTTATATTATACAGTGAGAATGGCCCAAAACCTACAATATTTCGGAACAATAGGGGAATTCATTTCTGATGATGTAATTTTTAAAATATGGATTAAAAGGCCAACTTTTATGTTTTGTTTTACATGAATAGCATAGGCCACATTGCTATTTTTCCTTTTTCCTACTTGAAGAAAGCCCAGAACGAAGCCTAGCCCTGAACTGGCGGTGAGTGGAAAGAGGACTGGGACTGTAGGCGATGATGATGTTCTAGGTCATCTAGGTGAAGAAACGCAGCCCCGAACCCCTTCTTTAGCCATCCCTGCTCACTTCCCTACAGCCAGCGGGTAGGTGGGAGTGGGCAATATGTCCCAGACACTTATTAATAATTTTCCTTATCTTGATTTCTATTTCGGAAACCATTATTATAACATTAAAGGAAAAATCATCTATGACAGAATGATTTTCAATTCTTGTCCCCTTTCAGTCGTTGGTCACGTGCATGGAGATATATTTGACATGACTATATCCTAGTATTTGCAATTGTGTGTTCTACGCTGTTCATTTATTTTGCAAAACATCATTTCATGTGTCCATTTATTAATTTACTGTATTCATCAAGCCTTTACTAAGGTATGTATCAGGTTTTAGGCATTATTCCAGGTACCATGAATATAAAGATGAAAACCAGATCCCTGTTGTTAAAGAGCTTGCAGGTTAGCAGACTATAACAGATAATTACAGAGCACAGTATTGTCATAAATACAAATGTAAAGGCCTCTGTGTTTATCATCCTAATGGCTTCACAATCTTTTAGCTGAATAATATAACAGTTTACATAGCTATTCACTTTCTTGATTATTTGTCAGTATCACATGCACTGCTGCAATGAACACGTTTCCCTTTTTTTTTTCCTGTTAACCATTTTCTATGGATCAATTCCTAGGAGTGAGATTACTGGGTCAAAGTGTATTAATTCAGATTTTTATAGCTCTTGACATACCTTGCTAAATAAATAGCTTCATAAAAATATACAAAGTCACCACTTCTGAGCATTGCCAAGAGTCTGACCACTAAATATTTTCTTAGAATTTCAAAAGCAGGAACCCATTATTGTGTTCACTTGTATCTATGTAATTAATAGCAGGATGGAATACTTTCTCAGCATTAAGATTTTAATTTCCCCTTTGGGGATTGTGTTTATGGCAGATCTATCTATCATTTATCACTGTTATAGCAGCTTCCTAATATGTTTTCAGATGCTACAAATATAATAAGTTTCCTTTATTGCAAATTTTTTTCCTGTTTGTTGTTCTCTTTGTTTAGCTAAATTCACTTTAAATCATACCAAAATTTTGACTCTTCTTTTTTTTTTTAAATTAGTCACACTGTTTTGTCCTCTGAAATTTCTTCCATGGTTTCCAGTCTTTTTTTTTTTAAGATTTTACTTGTTTTGCTTTTAGAGAAAGGAGAAGGGAGGGCGAAAGAGAGGGAGAGAAACATCAGTGTGATGCCCCCAACTAGGGACCTGGCCCGCAACCCAGGCATGGGCTCTGACTGGGAATCAAACTGGCAACCACTTTGGTTCACAGGTCAGCACTCAGTGTACTGAGCCATACCAGCCAGGGCTATGGTTTCAGTCTTAAGAAATTTATTTTTCTACTACTGAAATAAGTGTTCTACTCTGTTGCCTATTTTTCATTTGTTCAACTTTCAACAAATCTCCTGTGTGTCCTGCTTGGCAGCAGAGATTAAAAAAATGAATGAATGACATATTAATACAAATATTATTATCCAAAAGTTGGAAATAGGCAAAGGGTTACTGCATTTCTTCCCAGTGCCACACTGGAAACCCTATTAATGAATTCTCCAGGAACACATATCTTGTTTGACACACTATTTACTATTCATGAGGTTAGTTTACAACTTTTAGTGGGGATGTTGACTGGTAGAAAACTGAAAGCAATGTAAATGATTCTTATCACATGGCAATGAAAATTAATTTTGACCAGCAGAGATGTAAGTGATTTATCTCCTAAAAAATGATGACCTCAGAGGTTACAGCTTTATTGCCCTGTTGGACACTATGTAGTTTTGCATCTAACTTAGCAATCTTAATCAAGTATTTTCTCTTTCAGTGATTATAAATACTTCGCTCTTTCACAGTTCTCTTTGAGCCAGCCTTACCATCTTACAGATCTCCTCATTAATGAGTTAAATAAAGCTTTGACACATGCTCACCTTATGTTTATATGAGAGTCAGGAAATCTGGCTGCTAGCATCAGCCCTACCCTCATCTAATCTCCTCCTTGACTGCTAGCTTCCTTTTTTGTAAAGCGTGTGTTTCTGTAAGGTCCAATGGTATTCAGGAAACCAAAGCAATCAGAAAACTATTTCTATACACAGATAACATGTGTTGAATCAGAATGAATGGTCAGGTTCTAAGTCCGAAGCCCAGGCCCCACCCCAGGCCCAAGGGAGTGGAGCCTGAGAAGCCCACGCCACAGCCTGGTGGGACGCTTCACCTGCAGGGCTTCCCTGAGTAGCCAGGACCGAGCAGGAATAAGGGACAGTGGTGCGGTGGGAAGTACAAGGTCTGTAGCCAGGTGGACCTGGCTTCAACCCTCAGCCCTGCCTCTTCTAGAGTCTCTTGAGCTTCATTCCTCATCTAGAACAGAAAGTGGGTATGATGAACCAAGGGGCCAGTTAGTAAAGACCCTTGTCACACCTGGCACACACTAGGTCTTCTATGAATGTCACTTCTTTTCCTTCCTTCTGAATCCATACAGTCCCCCACAATGAATACAGAATCCATCCTCTAGAGATGGATCAGGAGCACATCTGGATATCCAGAGTCTACTAGTAATTGAAGCAGAGCAGAAAAGCTGTGGCACTGGGTTGGAATTTCAGAGGCTCCTAGCATGCTGTGTTAGAAAGACGATGGTTTTAAATGGCCCCCCAGCCAGCTTTATGGCATTGCTCTCTGGAAACCGTTTTTTTCCTGAGAAGAACTTAACTAGATGGCTTCTAAGGTCTCTTTGAGTTTTAACATCCACCACCACAGGAAGGCCAACCAGCCGTGGGTAGGTTCTGACAATCCTCCACAAGGCTACCACACCCGCCGGCCTGACACACTTACCTCTCCTACCACCTCAATGATGTCACCAACTTTCAGCTCCAGCTCGTCGTCATTCTGGGGCAGGTAGCTGAATGCCACCTGGCACCGGCGCCTCCGACGCTCGCCTAAATGGGAAAAGCAAAATATTTAGATACGGCTCTTCTCTCAAAATCAGATTTTAAAGAGAGGCTTCCTAGGCATGCAGGCAAATTAAGCTGACTCGTCTGAAATACGCTTTCTGGGACATGGCTAGAGGCACGGCAGCCCTGGGCTCTCAGAGAGAGGCAGTAGAAAGCAGAGCAATGCTTCTTGGTCTTTTAAAAGCTGCTGGGTCAGAAAGGCATGGATATGAGAAACAGATCCGTTGGTGCAAAAGGAAAAACCCCACCCCGAAGCGCTGGAGCACAGTGTTGCCTTAAACAGTTTTCCACGGATGGGGCTTTGTATTTGCTGCTGTTGATTTTTAATGAAAGCTGATATGATGTGGTAGAGTAAAAAGAATGGTCTGCTTCTAATGCTAGCAAGGCAGAGGAAATTTTTCCCCAATGTGCAAGGGAAAAGATAAACTGTCCTGGCCTTTTTCTCACTAATCATCACCCTTTCAACATGCTGGAACTCAGGCCTGATAAGCAAAGACTGATTAGATTTCAGTCTGCTCTTGGTACCATTTCAAACGCCCCACAGGGGTTCAACAAATCCACTTCTGTCCGCTTCACTCTGTTCCCAGGGGATCCATTAGCAGGATCCCTGGCTGCTTACACAGAACCAAGCCAGGCAAATCAAGATAAAAGCCAGGACCACACTTCATGACCAGAAGACACTCAAGGTTATAGCATCTCTCTCACCAAGTGCAGCCCAGCTAGGAGGCCCTCCCTGACTTAGAGCTGCTTCAAGTACTGACACAATTATCCACAGCACACACGCGCATCTCGGGGAGAAAGAACATGCATGTGGCATGGGTGGTGGTGGGCAGGGGGAGGAGACAGAGAGACAGCAGTGGAGGCCCGAGCCGGGCACAGGAGACCAGGAACAAGGAGCTGAGAGCTGCATTGCTCAGAAGTTTGTCGCTCAAGGCTGACCACCTCACATCATTCCTTCCTGCCACCACATGGCCTAGAAAACCAAAGGGATCATCAACTTCAAGGAAACATTTAGAAACGCTTACATTATTTTTGGACACTGACTACAGGGATTTTTTTTTTCTTTTCTAATCTTTGCCCTGAGAAAGCAAGTCCCCACAGGAGTGATCACAGGCCACATTAAGGCCCCACCCAGCAGGATATCATACAAAGAGGAAGGTCTGCTACATCTGATGTTCTCACTGATCAATATTTTTCAAAGCCGGTGGCCTAGTTCTCTCTGTTCTACTTTTCTCTGCCTGAACCTCACTAAGGAAGAACAGAGTTGAACAGAGGGAAGTGGGCAGAAGTTTAGAATCACTATCTTGTCTAAGCACATCTTTGGTGACGACAAGAATACATTCCACCCCTTTGTACAAAATCGCAAGCCTCCTGATCCTGATGAGAACAAAAGCTGAGCTCTCAAGCCAATTCCCAGCTGATAACTGCGTTGTCAGCAGGCAGAGTAGGGTGACTTGACGAGGCCCTGGCTCTCCCAGGGACAGAGGGCCCACCCCAACTGGCTTTTCCCAGGTGGCGAGTCAGGAAGTGTAGCACCCCAGTGCAAAGAACTCCACCACTAGTCCACAACTTTCAACACAATGGAAGACCAATCAAGCACTCTGCATCAGAAAGGATGCAGAGTTCTCACTCTAGTTAAGAAAGTCGAGACTACAAGGTGATCTTGGCACTCATAACCAGCACCTGATAACTTGTCTGCCCCTGTCTGCACCCCTTAAGGTGAAGTTCTAGTGTAGATCTTTAAGAGCTTTATTTGCTAGATGTGATGTTAAAAGCAAACTCCACAGATACAAATCTGAACACAAAACAAACAAAGACAAATGTCTGAAACCCGACACTCACAACCACAGAAGTCCCCAAAGTCTTGACCAAACTGATTTAACATCTAAAGACCTGGTACAGACCTAGTGTTAGCTGATTGTGACTAAGTTCAAAACCCTCTATAAAAAGTAGTATCTGACCCAACACTACACAGATGGCAAAGGAGAGGGTGATGTATTCTTTAAGAAAAGACTAACCCATCAGATTCCAGACGTGGAACAGAATACTCAGGTTTCTGTACAACCAAATCTCTGTATCAAACTTCTATAAAGTCCTATCTAGTATTAGGAAAAATGAAACATTTACTCTGCCAGGCTAGTCAATAATTCTTACAAAACCTCTACGAAGATTATTCAATTGGTGGCATAAAGTCCTAAAGGCACTTGGCCAACACACAGGATTAAGAAAAGTGAGGCCTTACAGGGGGTGGTATGCAGACGTTGCTGTGGTAAAGGTCACCTGACCTGACCTCGAGCAGAACCAGTTATTCCCTCTGGTACTGGGAGAGCTTATAATCTTCTCTAAAGCACTTCTGATAGCCATCACCCTTATCACATGCTGCCAACTACATGAGTTTAAAAAGAAAAAGGAGCCAGAATGAGCACTCATTCTGCACATGCGGACATTGGGGCTGTGACTTACCCGAGGTTACCAAGCTAGTAAGTGGCAGTATCTCCTCGGCCTGAGTTCAGAGCTCTCCCTTCAATGCTGGATGAGCCATTTCAGCTCACATCTTGTCCCAAATTCTCTGCGATCTGCACTTAACTGCTTCCTGCAGCACTGCATGGCACAGCCTCAGGTCCTCACCAGGGCTTTCTCATCACACGTAACTGCCAAACCCCCGGACCGCTGTTCTTTCAGGCCTCGACTTCTGCACATCACTGCTTCAACCTTGTTTGCCAGTTCTGCCCAACCTAAAGCCCACTCCAGGTTGGGGGGCGGGGCACTGATGTGGAGACACTGCATTTCGGTTGCCTCCATCTACCTTCAATTTAAAGAAGCTTAAAGATGTCATTTGCCATTTTTCCCTCCACTGGCATTTCATTGAGGTTTACTAGCCAGTCTTAACCATCTCGAAAAGAGATGACAACAATGTCATCTGTTCTCCGTACCTGGAATAAAACTGGAGGGAAAAAATGTGACTTTCCCAAGGCCATGGTCTGGAGTCCCTTAGTTGGAGCTATTACCTCACACCCAGAGCCCAGTCCACATGAACTCAAGTTTTAACACATTTCAGTGGGCTTTTTTCCCTATGGAATAAACTGACTCTTGAAAGAAAGTTTTCTTTAAAAAATAAATATATTTGCTGATTATGGCCAATAATATAACTCTATATTAGAATTATATAGAAAGAAGAGAGCACATGTTTTTCTTCCTTCCTGTCATGGCCATTGCCACGGTCCTTTATGTGTTTTCTATGTACAACCACTTAACTCCTTACATATAATTGAAAGTAAGGGACACAAATTTTATGGACATACATGCAAATGTATTTGTGGCATGGCTTACCAAAATAGTATGAATAAGACAGACCTCCCAAGCATACTTGATATGTCTCTACTTTATTGCCATGTTGTATGATAGTCACAGAATATACATGTATGAGTATGTATTCATCTGTAGGAACACAGGCAGACCCTCAACTCCCTCACTAGTCCTCATAACCACCTTTTATTCATGACCCGCTTCGTTTACTAAAATAGTAACAGCTAACATTTATTGAGCACTTACTGTGTGCCAGAGACTACTAAGCACCTTGCATGCATTACCCCATGTAAATCATTACACTGAACCTCTGGGGTAGATTACTGACCCCCTTTAACAGACAAGAAGACTGAGGGGCACATAGGGACTAAGTACTTTACCAGAGGTCTTATGGCTAGAAAGTGGAGGGCCTCAGATTTCAAGTCAGGAGGTGCAACTCCAGAGGCACTGCCTCCCAAGTCTGACCATTCTTAAGAAGAATTCTTGGCTGTAGGTCTTGAGCTTGCAGAAGGGACTAGCTGAGCTAAAATGGCACATCATTAAAATGTGAAACCAGGAAGTGAGAACCCACAAATCAGGAGTGTTTCCTTACAGCTAGCTGCTGGGAACTGGGGCTCATTTTTTTAATGAAATAAAGCTGGTTGGATGGGGAGGAAATGTAGTATATGTGCATTCTCTGAAAAGGAAATAGCAGAAACTGAAATGGGTGACATGACTCAGCCTCAGAAACAGCACACACATCTATATTTTAGAGCCTTCTGAGGGGTCTTATAACATGTGAAAAGTTTACTAGGCCAATTCATTCGATGACCATAAAAATATAACACCAAATAGTGTAGTGGTTGAAACAAGTCTTTGGGTCAATGGGTAACTTCCAACACTCACACAGTCCTGTTTTGTTTTTTTTTTTACATCCCACACCCACTCCCCATGACAGAATAAAAGTACAACTACAAGCATTTCAATCATTTGGTATTTTCAAGGAACCCACTACATTAATCCACTGGATCTTTACCACATGCTTAGGGAACATGGCAGTATCGTGACATCTTTCTACATTGCAGAAAGCACTGATAAAACCAAAGAGGAAAATCAGGAGAAGACTCTAATTCTCAGGTCACTTTGGGCATTTTCTCCAGACATGGCCTGGGGACCACCTGTGTCAGAATGCTGACGTGCAGGGCAGACCTCGGAACTGCACTCTCTGTGGTTGGGGCCAGGGACCTGTATGTAAACGTGAGTCCCCACATGGCACTCCCCATGAAAATCTAAGCCTCAACAATGAATCAGTGCCACTTATTAGAGGTAACAAGAGATGCCAATGGTGACAACTGGAAAGTGCCTTGTGGGAACAAGGGGTCTTCCTTTGGAGGAGTCTAACCAGTGGCTCTCAATCTTGGCTGCACATTGAAATCACCTGGGGAGCTTTCATAAAAATACCGATGGCCTTCTACATAGCATTTCTCAGGAGCTGTCTCCATAGAAAAAAGGGCTTCTTCCAGGGCTGAGGCAAAGAGAATACAAAGTGGTTCTGCCAAAATTAATGAAGTGCTCAAACCCTTGAGGGGTAATTTCTTTTTCTTTTTTTTTAAAGCAAAGTTTTCTTTTTTTTAAGATTTTATTTATTTATCTTTAGAGAGGGAAGGGAGGGAGAAAGAGAGAGAGAGAAACATCAATGT